CTCCCCCTTCCCCAACTAGAGGCGAATGCCTCTAGTTTTTTTTTTATTTACTTAAAACGGCGTCGTTTTTTATGTATTCCAAAATGAATTCGTTTTGGGTCTGTTACAAAAAATGAAGCATATAATAAAATTTTCACTTGAATTGAGGGAATATACTAGGTGTGTCAAACTATTGTAAGTAGAGTTGATGATGTCTTTTTCTACTTTGTTTAATTTTCATTAAAATTTAGCTATAATTATGAACAAACATAGTTTACTTTTTAATTTCTTCGTCAATGCTCAAGTTCTTATCATAATTTTTTAAAATTTCTAAAATCCAATTCAATTCCCTTGAATTGTCATAATCCTTGGGATCACATATGAAAACAAAGAAAAAATGTAATTGTTAAAACTATGATATATTTATTCATATGTTGTCAACAATCAAAAAAATCAAGATAGTTATTGTGACTCTTTCCTATCTTCTAATCGTGAAGATATCCTCGATCATATAAAAATCACTAAGACAAGAATATACATTTTTCATTAATCCTGGAAGTTACATTTTTCCCACCCCAAATAAAGAAATTCCCAATCCTAACAAGTGCTATTTATTTCCTATCCATCTAATTAATAAACCAAAGTGATTTATACATCCATAATAGTCACGACACTACAAGCACATGAACCCACATAATAGGAATATCTAACTGGATCACTTTTATATATGACCAAAGTTAAAATTTTTACTTGTGCAATCAATGCAATAAAGAGAAAGATAATGATCAAGAATTTTTTTAGGAAAAAATAATTGATGTTATTATGTATGAAACTCAGAATATTTGAATTATTATTGTATATACTTTCAACAACATGAAGAAATATTATTTAAACGTAAAATTTTGTCACTAAATATCTAATTATTATTTTAAAAAATTGCTAAACACTAAAAACTTATCACTAGATTGTTAATTCCAGTAATTAAGTAGATGACTCACTAACTTGATTTTTATTTTTTCTCATCCACTCACAATGGTTGAAGCTAACTGAAAAGACATCAAAAATAATATAGGATGGTTGTAAAGGAAAAGATAAATTGACGTAGTAGGTAACTTTAAAATAAATTATATAATTATTATATTTTATGATAATTAAATTATAATAATAGAAACGGTTATCAACACATTTAATTACCATAAATGTGTTTTACTCTCTTCTCTCATTTATAAAAAGAGTACAAATTTTTCTTTCATTTGAGTCTTCTATCAGTTAAAGTTCTTCATTTTTGTACAAAATAGTTAGATAGAGAGAACAAGTGAATTAAAAAAATCAAGAATTTTATCAAAAAATCTCTCAATCACGCTATAACTACATCATTTTCTAACGATATGTAATTCTAACTTTCTGTTATTTTTTCTTTTTCTTAAAATGTGTAGGATTTAATAAAAAAATGACTTACGAATCAAATTCTGTTACATAGATCTCTAATATGTTGGAAGTACATGACTCGCTTTCAATAGTGTCAAGTAGTGCTTAGTCTGTTAGTTATCTTAAATTGGTGGTTTTCCATTTAGTGAGTTTCTTTCTTTTTGCTTTTTCCCTTGCCCCCAAGGGTTTCATAAAAGGTCAAATGTATTAATATTACTATGGAGCTATGAGACTCATTTTTTTTTTTTATATATAAAAAATCTTATTAACAAAAAAGAAAAAAATAACTCCATTTTACAAAGGTCTATTTTATCTCACAAAATTAAGGAGCATAATTAACTGCATATTCGCTCAAGCCTAACTTGTTATTTTAAAGGTTTACACTTAAAATTTAAGCTAATAAAAATTTAGGTGGGGAATGAGTTTTATTAATTTAGACTCAATTTTAATTTCATCTAAACCAAATTACATTAATAACTAGTTAATTAATATTATTCATAAACTTAACTTAAAATACACATTGACAAATTTATACTCTTCTCTTAGTTTTAATTTTTTATTTTTTAAAAAAAAAAAATTGTATAATTAATACATATTTTTATATTATTTTTGTGTTTTAAAGATGAATTTCAAAAAAAAATTAACATTAGTAATATAGAAATATATACATGTATATATATAGACAAAAGAACATGCTTAGATTACTAAGTTTAAAAATATGTTCACGACATGTAATCGTTCTAAATAATAAATTATTTTAGAAGAAATCTCGTACGAGATAAAACAAGTAGATATAGTAAGTTCGTACCATTAATGAGGAAGCAAGTATACATATAACCAAAGCATGGAGAGAATGTCTGTTGTGTGTTTTTGTTAATACTGAGTTTAAAATATGATTTACATGCGAATCATTAATTTGATAAGAGCATTCGTATTTTTCGTTATAATTTATATAAATTTCAATTGTAAATACTTTTATGCAGTCACTATATATATATTATATATAGTATTATAAATAGTGGCTATAACACTGAATATAAGGTGGGAAGAACGATTCCACCAATTGTATTAATGTCTCTGCAATATGTATATACGCATGTCTGGTTGAAAGAAGAGGGTAGAGAGGAGAGGAGATAAGGAGCAGACAAGTTCGTATGGTTTACAGAATGAGGGGCGCACTCTTGTCGTCTTGGGTCGGCTCAACTTTCCTTCCACATGGGTGCACATGCATTTCTCTCTCAATCATATTTATCATTCTCTTTCTTCCCAAGCTCATAAATTTCGTTTCTTTAATTTTCTCTATTGTAATATATATATATATATATATTGTAATAAAAAACTTAGATTTTTATTTTTTATTTTTTTAAATTTTTTTTTTAAAAAAAAAAACTTATATATATATATATATATATCTAATTACTATTTGTTTTAATTGAACTTAATATTTTAATTCTGTACTTGTGTACAGAGAGTGTGACTTTCACATAAATATATACGTAACTTACATTTTTTTTTTCATATAAAATATTAACTTATATTTATGTTTAAAATTTTAATTGAATTTATTTATAATGTAATGTTTAACTTAAACTAATAAATTATAAAACTTTTTCATATATAAATTAATAAAAACTAATGTCATTTTAGGTTTTAATGTAGCATTGGTTGGAACAATAAATTCTAAATTTCATTATTATTATTATTATTATTATTATTATTTTGCATTTTTATAGTGAATTTATAATTGAATCCTGTATAATTTTTATATAATTTTTTAATTTAAATTTTAGAAATAGAAATTCAATATTAATGAGTGTGGATAATTGAAAAACAAAGCAGTGTTGATGTAGGGACCATATGAACGTGAACCAATTTGCAAATGGGCCCCTTGCCCATGTTACTTCCCTCTTCTCTCAAACTTCCTTCTCTACCCTTTTTCAGTTTAATAATCATTTTCTCTTTTATACATATATAACAATTGTGAATATAGACGTACTCGATAAATATATATGTGTGTATATATATATATATATATATATATGTGTGTGTGTGTGTTGGGAAAATCAATTTCCAAAATTGGCACAGTTATGTTTATATTTACGGATAAAATATAAAATAAATTTTATAAACTCGTATATAAAAAATTATGATCATTTTTCTCCCATATAAAACTATTCAAGATATATATATATAAAATAATTTTTATAATAAATATAATAGATACAAATTTTTCAGGATAATTACGAAAATATCTAAAATAAGATCGTAGTCAAATTATATCAACAATATATATTTATATATGCGGTCATGTACTCATCCACGCGTTTTTACAATAGTGAAACTCTAATTTAGTATACAAGTGAATTACATGTTGTGAGAGATTGATAATGCAGTGGGTATTTTGGGAAAATGCGGTGGGAGCAGCACAGAAGTAGTGCTTTTCATCAACTTTTGAAAAGTTCATGGATTGAATTATCAACCAACTAAATCTCCCTTTCTATATATACGTGTGTGAGTGTATATGTATATCCACAACTTCAGTTCAAACAACATACGGAATTTGCTCGCCATGACTAAGCTCGCCTGCTTCTTTCTTCTGCTTTTCCTCGCCATTTCCCAGGTATCTCTCTCCGTCTACTTGTCTATATATATACGTACACTTACTATATTTCACTAAATAATATATAATGTTGCTTTTGCTGATGAAGGTTATGGCCAACGAAACCCAATACCAACTTCACAGTGTGAGTACTCAACACCATATCACCATGCATTTTTAAGTTTTTCTATACATGAAATATATATATATATATATATATATATATGTAAACAGTTTATAATTTAGAGTACCATTTGCAGGGAAATTATGGGCCTGGAAGTCTGAAGAGCTACCGTGAGTATATAATTACGAATGCCCATATAATCAATTTGTTTAACTAACATTAATGTTAAGAACTGAGCTGATTATATAATTATATACGGTTGAAATGATGATGATGATGATGATGATGATGCATGTGTGTACATATACATGCAGAATGTCCATCGCAATGTTCAAGGAGATGCAGTAAAACTCAGTACCACAAGCCATGCATGTTCTTCTGTCAAAAGTGTTGTAGTAAATGTCTCTGTGTTCCACCTGGCTTCTACGGTAATAAACAAGTTTGTCCCTGCTATAACAACTGGAAGACCAAGGGTGGCGGTCCTAAATGCCCTTGATTTTTTCGATTTATTACCCTTTTTATTTACTCTTTATTATAATTATTATTGCTTTTATTAGTTATTCCTGATTCTATAAATATATGGGCTACATATAATATAATATAATATATATATATATATATATGATATAGTATATATTTTTGTGGGTCATCAATTTCATGACCGATTTTAGTTGTGTCCCCCCCTCCCAAAAGAAAAGATATGTACGTATCAGTTGAAATTATGGGGCCTATGAGCTGTAATCTCAACCTTCTTTCAACTATATACTATGATCGAAATATATATCCACTCCAATCTCTCTCTTTATCCGTGTGTGTGTGTGTGTATATATATATATCCATAGAAATACAAGAGTTTAAAGATCGTATTATTTGTAGTGGCATAATAAAACAAAATTTAGCAATGTAAAATATCTTAAAATTTAATAAATAGAAGAGCTAGAGACAAGTACGAGAACAAACAGCTGAAAATTATATATTCTCCCCCAAAGTTGGTATTTTATTAAATATATATAATAATATTATTATCTAGTCACAGTAATTAAATGGGTATATATTATATCACTTTCTCGAAAAATAATAAATATACAATAAATAGAAACCCACCTAGAATATATATAACAAGTTTTTTATTCTTTCACTTAAAGTTTATAATGTGACGACCCCGAAAATTCAAAAGGAAATACATATAATAATTTGAGTGCGGAAGCGAAATAAAATGTTAAAATTAACATTTCTTACGCAATAACTTAAAAGTACTAAACAAACATCACAGAATAAATTCTCTGAAAAAAATACGAGAAATGAAAAAAATAAATGAAACTATAAAGCATCTAACATTTACTTGCAGATTTCTTGTAGATCGGGTTCAGGAACCAAGTCCTCCTGATCTGAAATGCTTAAATAAGGAATGAGTTATACTAACCCACTAAGGACATCACACTATATCACCGTCACAGAAGTAAAGGTTGGTAGAAAACCAAAACAAACAATAGAGCAGTAGATTTAAACTACTACATTTATATAAAATAAAACCATTTACCATTTTTCTTACCATTGGGGAATTTATGAAAACAAATTATATAAGCAATAATATCATACAGATCACAATTTCATGCATAATCAGTAACATAGAACATATCATAAATTCGTATTTATTAACAATAACTAATCATCACTGTTTCTCGTTTCACCAGCCTACTAGTATCCATAGGGCTGTCCCCACTACACGTGAACTATTTTCTTTAGCAATCTTAATTCCAGGGTCGTCCCCATACCCCGTCCGGTATAACCACCAAGACATTACCCCTCAATACTTCGTCCGATATAAGGGTGAAGCAGGTCGTTCCCATACCCCGTCTGGTATAAGCACCAAGACA